TCCATAAGACAATCAGGCTTTTCTTCTTTTCCTTTTCTCAGAGAGCATACCAAAGTGGATTTTTAACAATATTGCGAATATTTTCTTCATCGCGAACATCAAACGATGGTTAAAATCTATTTTCTCCTAAGGGAAAACAGTCCTGGGGAAGCTCCATTCCTACAATTTCACCAACTTCAATTTAATTAAATTTAATTTTCTTTTTATTTAAATATAATGGTTTCCATTCCTCTGCTAAGTATGAGTTAATGGCACAGTCTTAGAACTAGATTCGGTCTTGAATACTGATGGCAATGGAACATCTTCTTCCTCTACGAGAACTCTTTTTCTTTTGCGATCTATGTTTTCCTTAATTTCAACAATAGGGTGGACCATAATAGACTTCAGAGTTCTTTTAGTAGTGCGAACTTTCTCAAATAGAGTTCTCTTATGTAAAGGTAACTCCAGGTAGGTTGTCAAATTGTACTCAATTGGCGGCTCTATGGCCTCTAGGGCAACTATCTTCAATACTGTATAAGGTAGATTGGGATCTGAACTTAACTAATGACACTTGATATGGGGGAGCCTTGTCAGGCGGCATGTTAAGTCCTCCGATAAACAAAATGATAAATTTTGGCATGTATGTCCATCTGGCGCTATTAAATTCACGACTACAGCCTCTGTGACCAACTAAGAATATTATAGCCATCGACTACATCCTTTATGGCCAACTATGGCCTTTGTGGCAATCAACTACAACCTTTACAGCCAATTATTGCTATTAAAACCAAGAACCACATTTATTATAGCCTAATTATGACTATTATAGCTAAACTACTATTGTATATCTGTGATTACCATTGTTGCAATTCCATCATCTCTAATTCAGAAGAAGAGTGGACATATATACTTAAAATTACATAATGGATGACTTTGACTGGGCTAAGCCCCATGCTTTTTTCTCTTTCCATAATGTTTTCACATAAAAATTCTTAGACACTCCTTCTCCTACTTATCTTTTATTTGTGTGTTGTGGATCTTCACACAATGCTAAGACGTTAAAATATCTCTTTACCACCACAAATTTTTCAGCACGAAACAAAGTCATTCAACAAAAGCATATAATTGCAAAATTTAAAAAGAAAAATTATTAAATAACATGGGCAACAAATTTAGTATTGCATAATTATATCATGATAATCAACATAATAACATGTTAGAATATTTAAGTTATAGGATTTAATCAAATATACACAAAGATGTGCATCAATAAATTAAGGTAACTAATTACTTCATTATAAGCAATAACTAAAACTCACCACAAGTTCAAACCAAGAAAAAAAATCAAGTAACAAGGGCGTGCTAGCAATCATATCAATAACTAAAAATCTAGTATAAATAACATGCATTAATGACATGTCATGTAGCACACTAATTTTCCTTTATATCTAACACTTATTTTTTATGAAATTACACTTTGAAGGAAGATATTTTCATTTTTTTCTTACAAGTATAATAGGTAGGAGATTTGGAGCAAATTAGAGTGGAAACAAAGCAAAAAAGAGGAAAATGGAGCAATAGAGCAACAACTGGTTAGCGCCTAAACGCTGCTCTAAGACGCCATGACACCGCACATGGGCGCCTAGGCACCAGATGTTTTCCAAAAAATAGAGAAAGTGGTGTCGTGGTGCCACATAATGGCGCCTAGGCATCAGTTGTCTCCTAGCTTACCCGAGAAGGTGGTGCCTATGCACCAGAACTGTTTTGTGCAAAGGTTATGAGTGGGGAGAAATAGTTTTAACGAGAAGAAAGGATAATTTGTGAAGCAAAGGAAAGAATCTAAGTGTAAAGGAAAGTAGAGTATAAAGTTTGGTTTCATATTTTTCTGCATTTTCTTAGAGAGAATTGAGAGGATATTGTAAATGATTGTTGTAAACCTTGGAAGGAACACTTTTAGATCATTGGGGAGGAGTTTTTACTTCTTTTCTCAGGGAGAATGATAAGTGTTTCATTCCATATTGTCTTATATTAGTTGTAAACTCATTGTGTATGAATTTCCTTTATTATAAGATAATGGATTGTTGTGTTTTCTCCATGCATTATGAGTAGATCCTTTTCACCTTTCTCTTGTGAAGAAGTATAGTATGTGTAGGATATGTGGAAATATTTAGAAATAGGTTTTTATTCATTATTGTGATGGTTTTTACTTCATACTTCATTTGCTTATTAATTTGGCAAATTAATATGTTAAAACCTGTAGTAAAACTATAATGATCCGAGAGGGATATGGCTTTAACAACTAGTAGAAACCATATTACGCTATTAGGTGAAGGAAAAGTAGTCCATAGGGCAATACAAATTAATAAGGAGATAGGGTTTGAAGGGGGTAACTTGGATAGGGTGACATGTAGAAATATTTACTTAGTTAAACAAAACTTCTTTATGCACTCGAAAGAGGGTAAAGTAGTGGAAAGCTTCTATTTTTCACTAATTACAATTTATATTCTAGGTGTTCCATTCCTACACAAATTACTTACTTCATTGCAAGGGGAGGGTATTTTTCATAACTTGATCTTTCTCAACTTATTTAAATTTAGTAAAATTAACTTTAGAGTAAATCAATAGGTTTAGTGATAATTTAGTAGAATTTATAAGCACAAATAAAATCTATCTTACTTCTAGGCTAAGACTCATTATAGTTGGCTAGAACTTTTCTTAAGTTTTAAAATAACAGCCTTCCCTGTGGGATCGATACTTCAGACTAAAAAATTCCGATACTACTTGAATGATACATACGCTTACGTAAAATATCTAGTATATAGTGCTAATTTGTGGAAAACTCAAGTTATAAAATTTATAATACATATTTTAGAGTTAAAATATTGTATCAAAAAACACTAGGTATCTGATACGGTCGATCGATTAATATTCCTATTCTGAAAGGGTATGTTTATCCCCTAATAAAGAGCAGTTGCTTGCCTTGAGGCGGCCAATACAAAACTTCTGATTTTATAAGCTTCAGTCTAAGGCACCACTAGGAGGTGTGCTTGAATGTCCTATGCCCAAAACACATTAGTCATACAAATATGTTTATCATTATTCTTATTTAATTCATTACCATTACAAAGTTTGAAACAGAAGGAAAAATAACTCAAACCTAGTTTATCCTACAAGCTAATTGATTAAATAAATAATTTACTTACACATACTTATGCAATCCTAGGTGACTCTTGGTAGAATAATAACTTTATAAATGAGATAAGGAGAAGAAAGAGTTTATGACGCTCGATAAGTTGAGGAAGAACCTTAGTTGTCAAGAGGGAGCTTGAACCATAAATGGAAGTACGAGGGTGAGGAGAGGCTTTGATTGTTGTGAAGGTGAAATCAAAGGCTACTTAGAAGAGAGGTGCGAATTGCAGCGATGCCTTAGCCTTCAATCCCTTTATATAACCTTAGTAGGGCAGTGGGTAAGTCTATCCTCAAGCATGAGAAGGTGCAAATCTGGAAGAAAAGAGAAAAAAATCAAATAATTTATACGATCAAGCGAGACTACTCAACAAAGGGAAATCACAAATTATAAGCAGCGATTGCGACAGGAGGAAAGAGGAAAGGGTTTTTTTTTTTGGATCATGTAGGTCGAGTTATGACATGGGGGACGATTCAATCGAGGTGGCACAAGAATTCGTTGAAGAAATAGGCGTGAAGTTGCTATTTTAGAAACTGCAGTGACACTTAAAATTAGAAGTATTTACATACAAACCACCCGAAACATTGATATTTACAAAGTAACACCTAGGTGATTTTTTTTAACTACTGAACCAATGTATTTACGCATACCACGATCAAACAATTGAAGAATTTTATAAAAAATGAAATATATTAGTTGGATTTTTGTCATGAATTTTGATATAATTGGGTGAGAAATCGAAAAATGGATGAAAGAAGGTAGTTAGCAAGTTTGGGGTGGTCTGAATGTGTAATTGACCTTTTTTTATTTCAAAAAATCGTAGTGAAGTTTTGTGGCAAACACCACATTTAATTAGGTCATGTTGCAAAACACAACTATTTCATTATGACTTCGTAAGAAAACAAATAAAATGCAGTTTTATCAAATGCATAAGCAGTGCTGTGCAGACTACAACACACCTCTACCACTGCCCAAAATGGGCCCTAAGTTCAACTTAAATTTCTATTTAAATTGTGGATTTGTAAAATATATTATGGATGCGGCTTTTAAAAAAAAATTAAACCGATTGAAGAAGAAATCAAATTAAATTTTAATAAAATATGCTTGCATTTGATTCATGATATATGTATTACATTTAAATGATTCAAAACTATAAGGAAATGACAAATTAAAATATATTTATATATTGAGAAATTTATACATTATGAATAAAATAATTATTATAAAAAGATTGAAATTGAGTGGAAAATTCACCCACCAACGTTATTATAAACACAAGCGGATAGGTAGCTTCTACTTAAATTTAATAATGAAAAATAATTATAAATATTTAAATAAAATAAGTATACATTGTCATATTTAAGGCAGGGTCGATACCGCGGGAAAAAATTTACGGCGTGCGATAGACGTGCGCAGTGCTGCGTGCGATATTGGGGTTATACCGAGGACGTGCGATAGACGTGCGCAGTACTGCGTGCGATATTGGGGTTATACCGAGGATACAAGAGAGTTACATCCACGGTATAACCCCTTGTAACCTTCCTGTAACTTGCTGTAACCTATCTGTACTCTACAATAAGTTTCGCGCTTCTGTTATCATATATTAAGAGGTTACACGTAAGTTACAGGGAGGTTACAAGGGCTTATACTGTGGATGTAACCCCTTTATACCCTCGATATACCCCAATGCCGCACGCAGTGTTGCGTACCTCTATCGCACGCAAATTTTTTCCGTTACCGCGTGCATTTTAGTCATTTTACTTTTTTTTCTATATCTTTATTTGTTGTTGGAGAAATTTAATTTATCAGCTGGCTTATCACTGTCCTCTGGCTTTTCTTCTGGCTGCATAAGTAGCAGGTCTCGAGCTCTCTCCATTTATCCTCTTCTTTGTCTCTACTACTTTCACTTTCGAAACCCTAATCTTATCGTTTGAAGATAGAGAGAGAGCGTAGAAGTGGTGCGACTGGAAGATGCCGTACGTAACTGCTTACATTCTGATATGATCACGGCACTCTGCCTGGAGCGATGTCACGGGTTTAATTTCTTTCCGTCTTTTTCGTTCTCCGAGCCGTGAGGAAGTTCGATTGAGTATTGGGAGGGCGACCTTGTGCCACGTTGAAGAAGGCTGCGTGATTCCTGTGTGTCAAGGTGATCGAGATCGAATGCTTGATAGCGCTGGAAGTTGATGAACTAAGAAAAGGAAGAGGAAGAGGGAGACGACGACCATGGATCGGGTGGCAATGACCGTCGGGCCGGCGATGGACATGCCGATAATGCACGACAGTGACCGGTACGAGTTGGTGAGGGATATCGGGGCCGGCAACTTCGGGATTGCGCGGTTGATGCGGGATAAGCAGACTAAGGAACTGGTGGCTGTCAAATACATAGAAAGAGGAGAGAAGGTTTATTAACTGATTTGTTTCTCGAACTCAGTCGTTTTGTAGCTCATTTCTGGCGTTTTTTTTTTCTTATTTTTCTCGCTGCTTTAGATTCAATCAACGTTGTTGTCATGAGTTTTCGGACTTGAAACCAATTTCTCACTTTCTATCAGCTATGTTTTGTCTGCCCTAAGAATATGTGGGATTCGAAGCGAACTTGTGGGATGTTTAATTTAAAGATTGGTGTGGTTAATGGTTATATCATAGGCAGCGCATTTATGGAAAAAATGACGCTTTTTAGTTCAGCATTTTTTTGTCGTGCTTATTATCCTGTTAATGATCGCCAAATCAATTGATTGCGATCTGCTTTTTTCTTTTTCTTTTTATTAGAGCGTCCGAGCCGCAAAATTTTGTATTTTATACCTTCATCTCTATTAGCATTTCTCAGTTCGTAATCGCACGAAGGCATGGTCAATTTTGTTTTAAATTTGAGTTAGAGAACTTTATCGTCCATGCTCGTCTTCATCATTAAAAAATAAAATAAAGTGTCTGCTACAAGGTTTTGATGCGGTAAAGCAGAAACTGGAGAAAAAATTATTTTTTGTTTCATATTTAGCTTGTTGCACTAGTGTCTACAGTGACCATTTCATGCATCATTTTCTCAGTTGTTTTATTGTGCAGATAGATGAGAATGTCCAGAGGGAGATTATAAATCACAGATCCTTAAGACACCCAAATATTATCAGATTTAAAGAGGTGCGCCTGATTGTTGTTATTCAGCATACTTAATTTCATTTTTGGGACTAATTTTATCATCATATAGGTCATTCTGACTCCAACACATCTTGCTATTGTAATGGAATATGCTTCTGGCGGTGAACTATTTGAGCGTATTTGCAATGCGGGACGATTCAGTGAGGATGAGGTTTGCTTTTACCAAAATTTTCTTGGCTATTCTCTCTTTGTTTCCTTTGTACTTATGATGCAAAATAAGAAATTACCTTGCAGGCTCGCTTCTTCTTTCAGCAGCTCATATCTGGAGTTAGTTATTGTCACTCTATGGTATTTTATGTTTGATTGTCTTTTTATTTATTTATTTTGTAATAGTTAAATGTTGAGGGTTATTGGCATTTATTTGTTTTAACTTGTTTAGCAAGTATGTCATCGGGATTTAAAGCTTGAGAACACATTGTTAGATGGAAGTGTTGCTCCACGTTTAAAGATTTGTGACTTTGGCTACTCTAAGGTATGTATAGCCGAGTATCACAAGACAAGCAGAAGTGGGTTTTGAAAAATTATTGAAGATCTTGTCTCATTCATTTCATAATATCTTGCAATTTAAGTCAAAAGATTTTCTTTTATCCAAACATGCAATAGCTTAATTGGAAGACCTTACATATATTTATAATATGCCCAATTTGAAAATGTAGAATTTAAAAATTTTAACAAATATAATTCATTTGCTCATATTTAATCTCTATCTCTGTTTGCTTTCATCAGCATGCATGGTAAGTTTTTTGACTCTTTGGTGTCAACTTATTAATTTTGCAGTCGTCAGTTCTGCATTCCCAACCAAAGTCTACTGTTGGAACTCCTGCATATATTGCTCCTGAAGTTTTACTTAAGAAAGAATATGATGGCAAGGTAAATCATTTTCCTTTGCCCGTTCTTTTTTGTTTTCAACCATATGCCTTGATATAAGATAACGGAATAAAAATATTATTAGCTTATTACTTTGATATATTTGCCTCAATCTACAATTTTGGGATTTCTTGATGTAAATTAAATCAATATTACTTTTGATGGTCACGTCTCGGACTTCATGTGTTTGCTGTAACAGTCCAAGGAGATCCTTTTATAAATGTTGTTTGACTTGAATTACATCATGAATTCCTCAAGAACAATGAATTTACTTGAACTTTTTTATATCCATTTATATTCCTCAGTAGCAATTGGCATTCATTTAGATGAGATAATATATCAACAACCAAATTAATTTGATCATTCAACTCTTGAATTCAATCATTTTTACATGAATTTCTCTCATAATGAAACTTAAGTTCATTAAAGCCATTAAAACTCCTGAATTCAATCATTTGCACTTGAATTTCTCTCATACTGAAGCTTAAGTTTATTAAAGCCAACAATGGTTTGAACAGCTTCTTTTTGTAATACCTGCAACATTTCATAGTGAGGATTTTTAAATGCACACTCATGGGTACCACAAGGATCTTGACTCTACTGGCTTTTGTACAACCCGACAAAGATCTCGAGTCTCTTGGCTTTTGTGCACAATTGTACTGTTGTACCCTTTTTGAGATTAATAAGATCTTTGGACTCTTTGCATAATAGAAAAGACCAATTACTTATAAATCCACTGGTTACTTAATTTTATTTAGTAACTCAAAGCAGAATAATTCTCTTATTCAACAAATTCTTAAGTGGATTGTTATTCCATACCTATTTCTTTGGCAACTGAAATTCCACTTCATAGATATTGAACATCGTTTTATTATCACCTTAGGGAATTTCCTCTTTCAATTTGAAAGAACATAAGCTATAGGAGACAACACCAACTTCAACACTAACTTTTGCTTGCCAACAATGTCAGTAATGACTTTTGACCCCATGTGAAAGAGACTTCCAATCTAACTCAAGAAATTCCTGAGCCATTTGTGTGCATGCCAATGCCCAATTTATTGATTTACCAGCTTAGTTTAAGCTTTTGACTTAAGTGGTCGAAATTAGCCACGTTGTCACATCTTCTATTCCTTTTAGAAAAATTTATGAGCGAGCGTGAATTTCTATAGATTGTTGGAAGAGTACCTTTATCAACATCACCGTTACTAATTTTAGAGTTCTTTGAAATCCATCTTTTCCTCTAGATATATTGGAGAAATCAATTCTCCAAACTTTTAGGCCTCTCGCTTTGGTGTCTGCAGTGGGACAATCGATTGAGAGCACCTCAACTTCTTTGAGGAGGCTATGGAATTACTTAACATAGTGAAATACAGACTATTATCATATCAGTTAAAGAATTTGCTCGGAGATGGTTATCAGGGCTGCTTTCCATAGTATATCATCCTTTCAAGATATGTTTATTAGTTCTTAGTGCAATTTTTATGTCCTAAAGGCCTCTTAAGACCTATTAAATTTTTTATCACAGAAAGCAAAAAAGGAAGGGGCCTTTAATGTTATTGTAATTAAATCAGTTTAGTCATCAAGATGTCCTTGATTTCTGAGTCAACTTTGGATGCTTGATCAATATCCTATTCTTCTATTTGGCCAAGAAGATGGGCTTTAGTGCAAAAAACTTATGACCTATTCATGACTCTTTAGTTTGATTTTTTGGTAGTTGTATAAATGATTTTTTTATGTTTGAGGTTTGCTTTATAAGAAAATATATTATTTTCAATTGATTTTTTTCTCATGGAAATATCATTATCTTTAATGAGATTTGTGATGAAAAGGGTGTTGGTACCCTCGTTGGAAAAACAATATTACAACAAAAATCCATTGGAAACGTTACCGAAGAATATTACCATCTATATAATATTTCTGATAGATTTTCTATCAAATTATGATTAATTTTCATCACAAATTTAGTAAAAGACGCTTTGTTATGAGATACAATGACAACAAAGTTTTCATTCTAACTATGATAATTTTTTTTCATAACATTATCTTGATTGGAATGTACTATTATATTAGCTGGGTTGTTAATTGTAGAGATCATACCGATGAATTTTCGATCATTAAAAATTAATCTCAAAGCAAATACTAATGAAATTTTTGTCATAAAACTAGCAAGCTATTTTGTAAAATTTGATCTCTAGTTCGCTAATAACATAAAACAATAGATGCTTGCATTTTAAATTATCTGATGTATACAATTATTAAGCACTTTCTTTAGACAACTTAATTCTTAAATCATCGTCAAAATAATTCAGATTTAGCATTCATTTTATTAGTTCCTTGTACTTCATCATATTAGTCTCTAGCGTTTCATCAGCTTGTGATTATAACTCTGAAATAACTTGTAGTGTCAATAAATCTTTTGTTCTTTTCAAAATTATTATGTTATAAATAGAATGATTTGGTTCGTGTAATATGGTAGATTAAGCATTTTGTAACTAGCATTTTAAGGTAATCTATTGCCTAGGGTTATTTAACCCTTGCTTCAGATAAGTAACGATCTTTGAGAAAGAATTGGCTCAATGCCTTTTTGCTTTGCTTTCATTCCAATAAATAATTATCTGTACAATCTATTTTAGGTAATCTAATAATATGTACAATTAATAAGAGGCAAATCAAGGGAGAAAATTGGAAGCAATTTAAAAAAAGGAAGCTCTTAATTCTAGCTCCGTGATTTCTGTCATTCTCGATTGATATCCCCTCTCAAATTGATGTTGACTGATCATGAAAATCAATTTACTAACAAGAAATTGATGACATTGTCGAAAAAGAGCTTTAGTAAATATATCAGCCGTTTGATAATCAGAAGAGATATGAGGAAAATAAATAACAACATCAACATAAGCTTCTCGAATAGAATGACAGTCCACTTCAATATGTTTCGTGCGCTCGTGAAAGACAACATTAGCAGTAATCTGAATAGCGCTGGTTTTATATGCGTAAAGAGGAGTAGACCCAAGTTGAAGAAAACCAAGCTTAGCCAACAAACCTCAAAGCCAAATGATCTCAGAATAAGCAGAGGAAATAACATAATATTCAGAATCAATAGAAGATTTAGACACTAGATATTGTTTCTTACTCTTCCAAGAAATTAAAGTTGTTGAAAATCATGCACCAAGCAGTAATAGATCAGCGTGTATCAAAACAACTAGCCCAATCGGCATCACTATAGGATGTTAAGAGAATTGGAGACTGTAGAAAAGAACCAACCATGATGAGAATTACCTTTCAAATACTTAACAATATGTCGAACTGCAGCTAATTGAGGATGTGTAGGTGCCTACATAAATTGACTAACTTGTTGCTCAACAAATGAAATATCAGGACGTGTAATTGTCAAATAATTGAAACTCCCAACAATTTGTCGATACAGAGATGGATATGACAGAAAGTCACCATCATTTCGTTGATATTTAGCATTAACTTCTAAAGGTGTATCAACAGGACGTCCCTCTCGAAGACTAGCCAAAGCAATGAGTTCCTTAGTATAGTTATGCTGATGAAGAAAAATACCAGCGGGAGAAGAGCGAACATCAAGATCTAAGAAATAAGTTAATAACTCCAAATTCTTCATATGAAAAGAACCTGAAGACGCTTTTACAGCTGAGACATCAATTGAGTATCAGATCCTGTGATGACAATATCATCGACATAAACTAATAAAAAAACAATTCCCTTATCAGTCTTGTAAATCAATAATGATGAATCATACTGTTTTGAATAAAAGAGAAGCTAAGAAGAGTATTGTGAAACTTTTCAAACCAGGATCGTGGAGCATGTTTCAAACTGTATAGAGACCATTTGAGCTTACAAAGATCATGTGTGGGTGTAGAAAATAAGCCTGAACGAGTTATATAGATATCTTCTTTTGGATTCCTATGCAAAAATACATTCTTAACATTAATCTGTCGTAAGAATCAGCCTTTAAATGCAACAATAGATAGGACAAGCCAGATAGTTGTCACCTTAGCCATGGCTGCAAAGGCCTCTTCATAATTAATCACATATTCCTGTCAATTGCCGAGAGATATCAATTTTGTCTTATATCTATCAAAGGAACCATCAGATCAGAGTTTAAGAGCTCATTTACAACCAATGAGTTTAACACCTGTAACACATGAGATTGTAAATAATTAATCATATAAACTGCAGTTGATAAAACTTCAGTCCAAAACTTAGCTGAAACATAAGATTCCTGCAACAATGTGCGCACCATATCCAGCAGATGTCGAATTATTCCGTTTGGCAACTCCATTCTGCTGAGGCGTATAAGGACATGAACGTTGTGAAACAATACCTTTATTATGAAGGAATTCTTGAAACTCATGATACATATATTCACCACTATTGTCAGACCGTAAGGTTTTAATGCAAGTGGAGAATTGAGTTTCAGTATATGTCACAAATATTTGAAACATTGTAAACACTTCTCCTTTGAAATGCAAAATGTAGATCCATGTAAATCGACTATAATCGTCAATAAATTTCACAAAATATTCATGTTGAGCATGTGAAATAACTTATGTAATTCCTCAAACATCACTATGAATAATTTTAAAATATTTATTGACACTACTACTCAAATTAGGAAAAAACAATGTTTTATTTTTTCTCAGTTTACAGGAAAAAGATTCTACTAATAATCTTTTATTTATATAACAAAAAACACCACTTTGGAATAAATGATTCAATATAACGTTATTTGGATGACCTAATCATTTATGCCTGACACCAGCCTTATTTTCAATAACTGAAGAAGCCAATGACAAAGTTCGAGGAATGGTAAGTTGTAATGAAAATAACCTGCTCACTTTAGGCTCATTCGCTATCATCTTTCCCGACACCTGATCCTACACAATACAGCTATCATGAAAAAAGTATACGTCACAGTTATTATGCACCATTTGACCAACGTAAAGTAAGCTAGTAGATAATTTTGGAGAAACCAA